ATATGTGTATGGAGCTCAGTTTCATTTCCATCAATTGCTGCAGAGCATTGCTGCTCTGTTTAGATCATCTAAGAATGCAAAGCCTTTATCTTTTGCACTGTCTGGCCATCTTTAGCTTTTCTGTGGAATACTGGAAATGAACACTTAAACGCAGACGTTTCTAGGCACATAGTCTACATAAACTCTTTGGGGTTATATTCCAGCCACTGACTCAACTTGCCTCAATATCACTGTCACATTTTCCCCCCAAGCCTCATTTTAAAAAAAAACTGTTTTCAGACAATGACCCAGATCCACAATTATCTTAAGACTGTGATCTAATTTTATAGCGTAACCTGACTGAAATTAACATGAAAAAATGAGGTAAACTTTCTTTCCTTAACAACAATAAAATAAAAATTTAGGTATTGTGACTTGAAATGACAAAAATGATTGCTGATCACTCTTTCCATGTGTTTGAGTCTAAGAAAGATTGATGATTATTGTAAGGTATTCCTCATTTGTGTTTGTGTGGTTAACGAGATACAGGAAGCGGTTTTAATTGCTGGCATGACTCTCCTACATGATTTCTACATTTTATTGTTAATCATGGAAAATCAAACTTATTTTCCAGTGTGTCAAATGCAGGACTAAGATCCAGTAATAAAAGTACAACAGAGTCACTATCAACAATACATAAAAGGTCATTAAAAACCCGTATTCTCTTATTTTACTAAATATAGATGTTACTCTTTTTTTAAATTCACATTTCAGCTGTAACACTAATAAGGTAGAAAACTGTGAGAATTCAGAGACTTCTGTGATTTATGTCCAACCTTTTTCAAAAGCTCAGAAGGACCTGCTCAGCGCTTGTCACTGAGCTCCTGCATTTCTCTTCAGAGCAGCAGGGGGCAGCAGAAGAACATGTATGTTCCTCATTGCACTTTCTTGAGCAGGCACTTTGCTTCCATTCTTTGTTTCCACTTAATCCTTGAGAGTGAAGTGTTACTGCAGTTTTTCTAAGTAATCGTCTTCATCCTGATGAGATTGGTCTCTCCCAGGAGGACAATCACCCAGATCCAATAAACTCGCTGACAGTGATCAGACGATCTCTAGCCAAGTTCCAGAGCCCTGCAGAGTCACTACCAAGGTCTACAGAAGCTATTGTATGACTGAGTGTACTGTGTTTTATACTTTAAGTTGTCCCCTGTCTGTATAGAGTAAAGAGGCAAATGATTGGTATGACAAAGGCTGCCAGACATCCTGCCAATCCTGCACCCAATGCCAAGTTGGAAAAAAGGCTTCTTTCTCCTCTCTCAGGTTTTCGGTTTGGTTCTCGTGTTGCTGTCACTGGCTTGGGTTTCACTGTGGCTGCTGTGAAAAACAAGTATTGATTATACAACTGATTAGGATTACTGAAAGAATATACCAAATAAATGTATTTTCAAATTCAGTTCATTTTTAACACTTAAAAACAAGTAGATTTGACCAAAGAGGCAAACTCAACTTGAAAGCAGTTAAATAAAACATAAAAGCAGTATGACATCAAAATGCTTCACAGTCGGTCAGAGCAAGAGCATAAGACAGAATAAAAGAAACAGTTAAAAGGAGGGCAGGACACAATATGACAATTGTTTGAAACAAACAAAAAAAAAATAGCCATGAAATAACATACTAGTTTGAATCAAAAGCCACAATAAAATAATAAGTTTTAAGACGCACTTTAAAATGCATCTTTATGTTAGCAGACAGATCTAGTCTGAGCAGTGATAATGTCTATTCTAATGTCCCGATTTTGTGTGTGCAGACTTTTTATTCATGTCTTAGTTTGAAAAGATAAGATCCGTGTTGCCAAACCATCATTATACTTTTGATCAAGAAAAACAGTGTTAAATGGTGAAAGTTAATTATGCTCAATAATGATCAGAACATAATTAGTAAATATAAAGATGTTTGAGTTTGGCTAAAAGGATGACTAAGAATAAAAGTATGAAAAGAAAATAATTATTTTAGATACAGGCGTAACTCGGGTCTAGAAGACAGCCTGTGTAGAAACATCCTTGAACGATATGAGAGTGAATGTGAGAGTGAATGACCACATAGAGTACACTATGATCTCTGAATGTTTGACTTTCAAAGTGTATGTTTAGTGAAAAGGGGGATTGTATTGAGATTATTGTAATTGACACACAGTTTTAAAGAGAAAAGTATCTGGATTAAAGGGGATTAGGGTTTGGATTTGTCTCCATTTCCCTCATCATCATCATGATCATCATTATCAATGCCATGTTAGATTATAACTCTGAGAAGGATTTGGACTTCCATCATTTTCCAAGTGGACTGCAGATTCTGCAGACTTCCAAGGTGCCCCCTGTGGATTATAACTTTGAGAAGATGTGGGATCCATCAAGGAATCCTGCTTTCCTGATTATTTCCATTAACACAAAAAATCCTCTCTCACCCTGAAGCCTGGTTATTATATTTACATTATTTTAACTGTAAATAGGTATTTGTGTATTCTAAAGTTTTGTGTTTTCAATATGAATTTGTTTTTCCGGCCCTTTTTTAGTTTTGTAAAGGTGATATGTAAATAAATGTCATTACTCCAGTAGCAGAAATAGGAATAGTAGTCGTACACACACACACACATACAAAGCTTACCAGTGATGTTGAGCCTGAACTCTTTAACCTTCTTTCCAAACTGAGTGGCCATCCTGCAGAGGTAGCGGCCCGAGTCGTTACTCCTAACTCTGGACAGCTGAAGTCTGACTCGTCCTGTCGTCAGAGCGTCTTTGTCACACTGAACACGTCCAGCAAACTGCTCGTGCTGAGGCTCATCAGAACTAGTGTCCATATTGAAGAAAACCTTCAGCTCAGGTAACTGCAGGCAGTGGAAATTCAAATCTGGGCTATTCTATGCTAGCTAAATTTTTTAGCCACTGCATGGCATTAGCAAGATGACAGACAAAAAAAGTTCGAGTTTATCACAATTTTTCCTCTGGGAATGATGATGGCTAAACTATTAAAAACAACCGTTCTAACCATTACTAAATGTTTATGTAAAATATAAATTCACAAAGGTACTAAATCAGCGTCCTCATGGAGGTTCAACTAACCACAGAAACATGAAGTCAGAATTATGAGGAGAAAGCTCCTACACATGGTCTTCTCCCTGTGAATGAACACACATGATGGTAGTTCACAGAATAATAATGACAGTACTATAAAACACTGAATAATTACACTGAAAATACTGTTAACAATCCACAAAGAAAGTTCAAATTCTGTTGTCTAATTATAAATACACAGTCACTGCTTTTTAATTTTGCTGTTATACAATACTACAACAAGCACCAGTGACTTGTTTCCACAGACATCCACACATAGTCCTAGCTTCACTTACATATTACACATGACATATCATATAGCCCTTACCAAATGTTCTCTGTTCAATAGAATTTCTCAAGTCCCTCTGAAACCTTCAGCCAGCTAATAAGTTCCACGATAAACTCTTGCTTTGCTTACATGCTTGTTACAGCAGCAAGTGTGTCTTCCACGGCTCCTTTCTTTTTCTGCAAACTGTTTTCCTTATCTGACATCAGCCGGTCACATTTAGTTTGACACTCCCTCTCAAACACCAAAAAGAGAAACCAGTTCAACAGTGAACATTTCCTAAGCAAAATTACATACAGTGGTTTTCCTTTGTAAGTTCAAACAATATTTTTCAGAGTTCTAAGAAAGGCTAGCACATTACTCAGACGATGACTCATCTGAGACTGCTTATCTTTGAGGTTTCCATTCAAAGTGTTTCAGTAAGATCTGATATAATACGAATCATCAAAATAGCATTATATTGGCCATATTACTACAGACTACAGAAATACACTAAAACTAAAAAAAACCTACTCTCAAATCCGGAATAATTATTTTGCATATTCTGAGCTATGAGGTTTGTTGGGTTGTTGTTGTCGTCATACCTACTGTCATACGTCAATATTTTGATATGCAAATAACATATGATCAGAATTAACATTAGTTGTTATCAGGGAAAATGTAAATGTATTTCTACTGTATACTACCACAGCTAATAACACATAGCTACAAAGCCACCTAATTCAAATGTAAGTGTAGCAGTTTTGTGTAAGTCCACTTCTTTCACACATCAGCATTTCCGCAGAGCAAAATGTGCAGGAAAACAGAAACAGGAAGTTGGTCAATGACAACAAGAGCCCAGACTAAGAGTGAAAGAAACATGGCCAAAAAAAGGTCATTCTTTATAAGATGCAAAGTTTCCCATTTGTACTGTATGTTTACTAAACTCTGTATTTGTCACACACTTATTGTCTTTTCTTTCTTTTTTTTTAACTGAAGTATATTAAGCAAACATAACTAAAATGTCTAGTAGCTCACCCCCGGGAATGTGGATTTTATCTCCTTTTTGATTTTTTACAATCCACCCCTTCAAGGCTAAAACATCTGTAGATCAAGCCTAATGACTGACAGTGTGACAGTGGGAGTGAAAAAGAGGGTATTCTGGGTGATTAGAAAGTGAGCAAAAATTAAGCCACTGTAAAACTGTCACAAACAATTTCATCTTTTTTGAGTAAAACTGTAGTATGATCTACTATGGGCTAAGTCTGTTATTTGTGCCTGATGAACTCATGGAGTTTATGGGTGCAGCATGCTAACCCAGCATTGCTAATGTTAGCTGGTAGCTTGCTAATCCATCCTCCAATCCAAATAAGATTACTTCTGACTCCAAAAATAGGCCACCATCATGGCAGCATGTATGCTAATCTTGAAGTTTCAGAATATGGAGCTGCAGTGGTTACAGCAAAATGTGCACCCGCTGGTTTTGTCTGTGTCTTGTCTTTGAATTATACAAATACATGGCATCTCACTGAGACTTGGACTTGATAAAGTGAGTCATTATTTTCTCCTGATTGTCAAAACACTGTTTTAGTTTTTGAACAATTTTGTGTTCTTTGGAAATGAATGAAAAATACACCAGGCCCTGGCCCTGCTAGTGATGTATAGTGTTTATTCCATTCTTACTACGATCACATAAATCAGCATTAACAGATTATATCCATCATCTGGACAGACAGGATCTGACAGAAGGCTTCACATCGCGATGATGAATACACTGGAAAATAACTGTGTGTTAGTCACAAGGAAAACACAAACTTCCCGCCACGTTTATCACTCCCTCAGAGGAGCAAATCTAACTAATGCATGTCGTTAGGGAAACTTAACATAGACATACAAAATTAAAGTCACCAGAGATTTTTGGCTTAAAAAAATATCACAGCACAAAACAAGTCAAACAGTTTTTCTCAGTAGATTTAAAGCAAAACTGAAATCTTACTTATATTACGGTGCAGCAAAAACTACCCTGGAGAAATAAGTGATGTTGTCACCTGTTTTGAATAGAAGTAGATGAAGAAGTTCCAGTGCTCTAGAGAAGCAGCTGTTATATTCTTTTTTGCTTATGTAGGATCTGAGTAAGACTGCATTTCCTCATTGCCCTGCCTTCTATTCAAAGTGTGGTGTTTTCCATTCAGTAAAAACGGGCTTTCCAAAAACTCTGACAAGTCGACCTGTGGTTTTGAAAGGGGCAGTTTTGTGTCGAATCATCACCATCCTTTGACAGATCATTCGCGCATATTAATATGACATTGTGTTGCTTAACATACATTTCTATTTTTAGATTTTTTTTATCTTCAAATGCCTGCTGGTGATTTAAACTCTAAAATTCAAAGAATATTTGCCTTTTCTAAGGGTTTCTACGCTGCCACTGAAAGTCATCTTAGAGAACAGGGTCATGTCCTTTATTTCTGCAAATGTGACTTTGATTTCTGGGTATTTGAAGGTTTTAATAACCAAGGAAAATTTTTCATTTTATATAAAATAACTAAATAATAAAATATGGTAGTGTGGTGTGGTTTTGTAGTGTGGAGAGGAAATAAAAAAAGGAACTGTTACTATAAACTACTGTACATTTTATATAATAACTTAGTTAAACTATCTGATATTCATGTTTTAATGACAACAGCTTTGTATGACTAACTGCAAGACCTGCCAATCAAGGCATTCACATCATCAACATACCTTTGTTAAAAAAAAAAAAAAAAATCCAGAGTAATCTGTTGTGTATTTAAGTGAAGTGGCTTCTAGCTGTGCTGAAACTTAAATATGAGCCCTATACGATATTTACCAGTGGGATGTATATCAGCTGATATACTGGGCTGTAGATGGTTCCTGCATGCCCCAAGCTCATTTTAACAGATCTGCCAAACAGTCTGAGGATGTGAATACTTTCCTAAGTAGATACTTGATATTAACGTAATGATTCTAAGATTATAACAGTCCATCAGTCACTTTGTCCACCAATGGATTGCAGTTATATTTATTCTTTTCCTGGATAAGAAGCACGTTTTGAACTTTGTGTGTGTGTTTGTGCGTTTTTCATAATTTATTCTTCTCCGTAGACATCCTCCCGGCATGCCGTGCTTCTCGCGTGCTCCTCAGGGCCTTGGTCCTTTTGGGGTCCACCACTGCATAGTCCACACGTGTACGCTGGCCTCGTGCTTGATCCTCGCCGTCTCCAGCGTGCTCACTGCCCCCGGTTAAACCTTCTCCAGTGCAGCGTTTCTGGTTGCACAGAAACACAATGAGAAAGATTTATATGATTTTTGGGAGTTTGGGGTTTTTGGGGTTTTTTTTAGATTATTTACTCGGAAAAACAAAAGTAATCCATTGGTGCCCTCTGGTGGTCAGACAAAATGATCACAGTCAAAATGTATTATTTATATCTGATGACAAATTATTAATTAAATAATGCATATGCTATATAGTATAACAGTAAAAGAAATAAAAGCACATTTAATTGAATGTTATGACTCATGTGGAATGACAGAGTGAAACAGCGAGAGATGGTTTACCTGTCTGCTTGGTGTTGATTGTCCAGTGTGGAGGTCAAGGTCCAGGTACTCCACCTGCTTGTCATCTCTGGCTCGTCGTAACACAGGGCTGTTGACTCCGCCCTCTGAAGCTCGGTGCATCATAAGTCTCAGAGACTGTAAACCGTAACGTAGAGAGTTTAGTAAAGGAGTTATGAAATCTAGAAGAAAGAAAAAAATGTTAAGACATGATAGAGAGATGGAAGGTACTCACAATCAGGTATTAGAATATATTTCAAAGAAAGAAGGGAAACAATGCCCCAAATAACAAAACATGAGCCAAATGTTTTCAATATAATAAGAATAAAAGATGAAGAAGAATAAATGGGGAAAAAGAAAGCAAGAATAGTTGGAACATTGTGAAAAAATGGAACAAAACAGGGGAGATGTGTGTGTTTTACCTGCTCGCCGGCACTGAAACTGAGGCTAGAGGTCATCATTGCAACATAGTTGTCATCTGGGTCATCGGAATCAGAGGACGGTGAAGAGCTGTGAGCAGAGCTCGGCGTGACCGTCCGACGATTGGAGGGTCTGTCACACAAACACATAAATATAAAATGAATCTTACATGATGATTTAAGATTAGGTAGTTTTTGCTTTTAAAGCAAAACTTCATCTCAATTTTGCTGACTTATAGATTGTTGGTCAGACAAATCAATCAATATTTATTCTATTGATGGCTGAGTAAAGAAAACTTTTACTTTGTAGTTTTTACTACAGAGTAACTACTTACTGTTAATTAGTATTTATATTTACTGATTCTACTCCATTCTTCTTTTATTAACTTAAATTACAACATCTTGCTGTTGTAAGATGATCAAAAAAGTCCTTGTAGTAACCCTTAAGCACCACAGGGTGGCAGTAGATTGCTGCTCAGCTATTAACACATCCTTCCTCTCTCTTACTCTGAAAGCGTTCCAGGCAGTAAATTTGTGTTCTGTAGTTTTCTGTTGACCTTGCAGTAAACGTGATCATGTCACGCAAACAAACATACCCACGGGTGAAGGTCCGTGTTACAGGCGAGCGCACTGGAGGGGGGACTTCCTGCCAGTCCTGCTGCACTGAAGAGATGTCCAGAGGAGCTGGTTTTACTGGGTGACAAAAGATGGGGAGAAAAGGGCGGCTTTACTTATTACAGTTTGAAATAATGTAAGGCTTAGCTCAAATAGGGGCTGCTTGTTTTCAGGATATGAGAACAAGAAAACTGTATTTCCACTTGTCCTTCCTTTATATCTGTGATTAGAGCTGTTTAGTCAGCAGTAAAAAAAAAGAGCATTGCATTGTTTATTTTAAGCCTTGAGTTTGAAAAATTTCACAGTTTAACATAAAAAAGTAAGACCTGAGGTCTGATTTTTAAAATATATTCATTGTCTTCCTCAGTTGCTGAGTCATTTCAAACCCCCTTTTTTTTCAGTTCAGCTGTCGAATTTGGGTGATTTGAGTGAAAACGTGTACTTCATTGTTTTATTGCTGTATTGACCAACTGAAAGCAGGCTGACGCAGACCTGCAGGCTGAGGAAAAAAAACAAAGACAGATTACCATCTAATGTGTGACCCAGCCAGCAGTCACATATATGACAAATTTGACAGAAATTTTGCTTTTATCTGGACAAACCACTCTTTGAAAACAACTAAAAACTGTAAACGGTGCCAAAGCATCCTTGTAATACTTTTAATGTTGGCTTTTAATGTTTATTATTGTAATTAAAAACAGAATAAAGTTTTTATAGGAAGTAAAATCAGGTGGGGGATTTTTCCTTGCGTGTCCAGAAACAGTTTCTTGACTGTGAAGACTTTAAAATTTAATGTGAACGTTTCTATAAGCAGCAGCTGGTTCGTGTCGCTGTGTGTGTGGCTGTCGTGCTCTTGTAGTGCAGGCTTGTTGAGCAAAGTGGGAGCAGGTGAATAATTAAAACAAAATGAAATGACATATATTGAGGGGGTGGGGGGGGAGAGAAAGAGTCACCACAGAGGAGAAACAGCCAAGTGTTTCAGGAACAGAAAGCTTAGGGTCAAAGTTCGAAAACTGTTTCATTTTATAAGTGGGTGTATTGTCTTCAAACCACAATTTAAAAGAAAAAAATCAGTTGTCAGCACAAACAACAAAATGTGATTTTACAGAACAAGACAAGCTGAGTAAAAGCAAAAAGAGGAATCATGAAGTGGGAAGTAATTACAAGAAGCTCTGATGGAAAGCCCCTTTCACCAGTGTTTTTCATGGCTTCTAAGGTTCAGATATTTTATTGCATTTACTTGCTTCAGTAGATGCATCAGCTTCTGCTGGTGTGATTACACCTGTACACTTTGAATCATTTTTTAAAGCTTCTTTTACGTCTTCCACCTCTGCTGGACTGTTCGCTGATCATGCAAAATGTTTACTTTTTGATGCTTAGCAAATATTTTATATCTAGAATTTTAAATATTTGGCAAAATTTTGATTTTTCTATTTGTTTTCATTATTATTCAGCCATATCATTTTAATATTGTCTTAAATATCAAGAGAAAACTAAGTGTTGATGTAAATGTGTGTTGTAGTTTGTACCTCTTGTTTTATTTGTCAGCTCCTCAGGAGTTTGGCTCTCATTTCTGTCAACCGGCTGATTGGCACAAACCCCTGCAGAGACACGCAACACCACAAAACAGATGGCATTTACCAAAGAGTGCTGCAACAGCAACTCAGCTAATGCTACATTAATGCTTACTATGAACAGACAGAATCTGGTTTTTAAACTCTAGTTCATTTCCTTAGAAATATGCTTGTGGTTATTTAGGTGAATTTTACAACTCACCAAAATGCTTGAAAATACAAAATATTTTAAAGGGAACATTATTTAATTCAAGGTAAGGAGTTTTTCTTTTTTTTTCTTTTTTTTCTTTTTTTTTTACATCAAGGCTCTGTTACAGCTTCCAGCTCTCACAGTAGAATGATACTAAATTTAACACAAAACTTAATTTCCCACTAAGTTTCCGCTAACCTCTCCGTTGTGGTTTCAGGTTGCGGTGGATCGGAGGGGGCACGGCTTCTTGTTCGCCTCCAGCAGAAGTGTTCATGGTATTTCTCCTGAGCGGCGGAGTGAGAGGAGCAAGGGGAGTCAGGGCGGAGTTACGGAAACCCATGTGCGCAGGGGGAGGCACCTGCCTCCCGAGAGATGCCATGTCAGTCATGACAGTGGTGGGGTGTGTAGGAAATGAAGATGTCAGAGGGGTCATAGGGACGTAGTTGCCTTCTTGGAGCTGGGCAGAGGGGTCTGAGGGTGGAGGCACTCTGGAAGAAGAATAAAATTAATCAGAAATTAACGTTACTGAATTGTAAATTCCAATTTCAAATGTCCCAGATGTTCTTTTCATCACAGCATTGGCTGTCATTAGGTTTATCAAATCAATCAAATTTATTGTCACGTCACATTACTAGTACATTGGTACAGCACATGTGAGGGAAGTAGTTACTAATAGTTATAAGTAGTTCCTTACATGGGAGGTGATGTTAGCTTGTGTTTTAGTCCAAAGATTAAAGGTGCCTTTTGTAACAACTCTCTGAAAAGTTTTGATTGACATCAAGCCACCACCAGGGGTTAGTGTTTTATCAGCAGGTGTGTGTTTTTTTTCAGTGTGTGTTTGCTTGGGAGGCTTTTATTTGTTAATAAAGACTGCTATTTAACAAAGCAGTCTTTATGACTTGCTTTGTTAAATAAAGGTTACATCAACTCCTTGCACCTTGAACTGTGTTCATCTTCATTTGATAGCTCTTCAACACAATACAAATATGTTTTTGAAATATTGTCATACCTGTATTTTTTTCACATTAAGTTGTTTGTGTGTCTGTGCGTCTTTGATTGATAGTCTACTAAGGGCTCATGAACTATGTAAATGTGCCAGATTTGGCCAATTCATCCACTTGAGTACTACAAAGTAAGGGGCAGCCTATTAGAAGAAAGTGGAATTTCACGAAGTGGGATCTTAAAGAGAGAGGACCTAAAACAGCTTCATCATGCAGATGACAATTTGAGAGGCTGATTTTAAGAAAGAAATCTTTATTTTACGTGTCGTAATTCTTACAGACCTGGGTGCAACCGGTGGCTCAGAGGTGGCAGCGCTCATGGGAACATAATTTTCATCCACATCATCATCTTCAGAACAGACACTACCCAGAGGGACCATGCCTTTGTTAAACTGAGAAAGAATGGATCAAGAATGCAGGTTGTTTTTCATTGTAAAATTATAAATCCATGATAAAACAGAAAGAGATAAAAGATAGAATAGTCGTTCAAAGTTAACATTTATTTTATTTTGGAGGTTTCAACTTACAAAATAGCTGTTAAAGCTCTCACTGAAATCAAACATGCTTGCTCTGTCAGACAAAGACCGAGGGATGTAAAAAGAGTCGCTACCTGAAACAGAAAGTATTGAGACAAAATCCATGAGTAGCTCAATCCTCTGTTCAATGATAACAGACAAACTTGTTTTGACTTTCTATTTATTTGTTTCTTGCTGTTTTTTTTTTTGTTGTTTTTTTTGTTTTTTGTCTACAGATGTGAAAGTGAAAGTGATTTTCTTTCCAATGGCAAAGCTCTTCCAGTAAACTGCCAACTACTTGTATACCTTTGCAGATCGTAGACTTCTGCTGACACGCATTTACACAAACAGCATTTGTACAGTGGGTTTGACCAAATGTGAAACTGAATACGCATGGCGGGTAATCTAAGAAGGTGGGACAACCACATGCATGAAATAACAAGTCTGAGCTTGCATGAATCTATCTTAGATATACTTGAAAGCAGCTGTTTCTTTATGATGGAAACTTCATAGAACTGGAAAGAGAATGTGGATTAAAAAAAACAAAAGAAAATAAATCTCCTTGTGCTGTTGTTGGGCAAAGTTCACGTTTGATTAATGAATCAAATTATGGAGCAATCATGCACAAACAGTTTCAGCTGTAACAATATAATCCCTCAGAACTGCTAGCTCTGCACAACAAAGCTTCTTAGCTCTGCATAATCTCCCTCAGGTACGAGGTTTAAAAATCAGATAGCAAACAGTGATTGCAGCCTCCTAAAAATGATTTAGCATTGAACTGAGTACAACATTAATGTGCATGAACTTGTCTCTGAATATTACTAAGTAGGCACATCTGGTACCAGAAGGTGTTCTCATGTGAACCAGTTTTCATTAGTTTGCACCTTTTGTGGGATTATTACTCTGAATCTGACACTTTGGTGATTAAATTAATGACAAATGTAAAATGGTAAAAATGTTAGTGGTTGGTGTTTTAGAAGTGTAGAAAAAAATGCTATCTCAATAAAATTCATGAAGAACAAGAACATTGTCTTCTGGTTTGAAAAATGAATCCAGTGACGTGCATTAAAGCTGCGTTATTTTTAATAACTAGCAGGGCAATTAGTGGTAAAACAGCCTGACTTGTTTGTTAAATTAAGGGAGGTCTATCTCTATCTCTCTGAATACAGCATTAAATTTATGTTCAACTGATGAAAAAAAAGCATGAGATCACAATCTTCCGTAGGGTTTCAGTCATATCTACATCTCACTCCTCATATCAGGTTTCGAAACACCAAAAGCCTTCAAAGTAAGAGCCAGCAAATCCAGAAGTGACATCACAGTAACTTTGTTTAGAGCAACAAATTTTAAAACTGTTTAGTTTTAAAAGTCAGCTACAATAAAACATAATGAAACCTGGATCATTACAAATTTGCATAATGGCAATTAAAACAAAAAGATCTGAAGAACCAACTGAGAATTACCATCCAACGCTGTCAGTCTCCAGATTCATAAAGTCTCTTTTACGTCACAAGTTTCCTGCAGCAGCAATAAAACCTTAATGAACCTGCTGTGTAAAACCTATCCTGCTTTAAATTGCAGCCTAAGTTACATACAGCTGATTAATATCCACTAAACATGGTACACACGGTAAAGCATTTTGGCAGCTAAATCAATGCCTTACACTGGCACTGATTTATCTTTAGTTCTACAGCTAGAACTTATAGATTGGCTTAGCACAAGGACTATAAAATGTCAAAAACAGCGAGCCTGGTTGAATCCAAATGCAGCATGGAACACACCGGCCAGAAGGTCGACTTGTTTTGACAACAACTACATTTTTAGAGCTATTGTTATAGCCCGAACATGTGGATACCAGATAAGAGATAACTAGATCAAGACTTCTGCTGGTCACTATATAAGACTGAAGAAAAGAAATGTTCACATGAAAACTACCAGGTTCATTTTGTCTGTCTTTGGCTCTGTACAAAGATTAGGTACCCATGTGTAATCAATGCCAGCTCAAACTGACAGCTCAGTGGGACTCAGATTGCAGACAGACAGAAACATCTTCTCGTCTGTTATTTGCACATTATGTTTATTCATATTCAGGTGTTGTGTGTATTGACGTTAATCAAGAGGAAATAAAATGCATCAACTGGCATCTCAAAGGCTCCTTAAAGAACTCCCTAAATCTGATTTGTTGAATGTGTGAAAAATAAAAAATCTAATGAATGAAATGTTGGTTTTGGCATTGAAATCTGAAGGATTATTTGTTTGAATTATCAATGTCAGGACAGTATTGTCTCCTTACTTGTATGCATGCATCCTGGTGTAGTGACGGTGTTGCTCCTTGGCAGATGTCCTCCTCCATCCACACTCTCATCCCTCCTCTCTGGCTCTGAGGCAGTTCGGGGGAGTGTGGCAAGCTTTGAGCTTTCTCCTTGGGCTGCAATGCCAGGAGGTTTTGGTGGGCGCGGAGGAGGAGTAGGGGTGGAGGCATGAAGCTCTGCTTGGGTTAGGGAGTCCACACTAGGGGTAGAAGATGGGCGGCGAGGGGGCGGCGGTTGTGAAGTGCATACTGGACGTGGGATCTGGTAACCACTAGTGGTGGATGAGTGTGTGCTTGGATGCACATTGGAGTGCACATTATCACTGAGAGGTATTGCTACTGGACGAAGGTGAAAATCCAGGGAGTGCTTTCTGGGATGCGGAGAGGGGTGACAGCGGGGTCTGCCAGCTCGATTCTGGGAGTCAGGGGTTGTGCTGGCATCTAAAGACTGGCTGAGAGGGCTCGACATTGCAGTGACTGTCCAAGGGACCACTCTAAAGCCAGAAGAAGAGGAGGAAGAGGAGTAGGATGGATTTGGAAGGCTGCTGGGGAGGAGGGAAGGAGAGGAAGAAGAAGAAGAAGAGGAGGAGGTTGCAGAGGGAGGCGGGTAAAGGTTGTCATTGTAGTCAGTTTCAAGAGATGTGGATGACCCTAAAGGAGCCCTACAAAAAGAAAGAGAGAGATATCAACAAAAAGACTTGAATAAAAAGAGTTTGTTTTTTCTTTTTCTTTTTCCTTATTAAGTTGTATAGTTTATCTGTTTATTTTGGTCAAAAACAAAGACGAATAAAATAGAAAGGTTTTCTTTGCATTAAAATTATTGTTGATTTTTCCCATCATAGTCCACTCAAGGCTTTGGGTTCAAACCTCAACAACTAAACGTGTCTGGAAAGATCAAACATTTTCCAACTGAGGAGGAAAATAGGTTTTATTGTGCTGTTCTGAGGAACTCTCCCATGAAGTTTCATGAAGTCAACCTTTTCCGTGGGTGTGATCCAAGATAAATCTCAAATCCCCTTTCTTAGAGTCAACACGTCTGAACCTGTAACTCTGGTAGTTTAGCTGATTTATCTTCAGCTGGTTCTCTTTAGTCTGAACTGGAGTGGAACTGGAGTCAGAGTGGAAAAGTTTTTTTTGCATTTTTAGGATTTTGTTTTGAGCAATAATATGACTAAAACAAAAACTAACTAGATATATTAAACAAAAGCTTGCAGATCTGACAGGCTGTCTTTTATAATTCTGTTTTCTATCATTGTGTTTTTATTAGTTTTGTTAGAGTTTAAGTATAGATTCTGGACTCATTTTGGCATTTTAACTCAGTTTTTAAAGAAACCGCAAATCTTTCTATGAGGTTAAAATTTTAGCGAAATTCTAAAGGCTTCAGAAGACGTCTAAAGTTAATTCGCTGCTCTGTTACCTTAAATGATATTGCTAACAACAGGATTTATTAACACATTAGGAATTCTAAGTATACCTTCAAAGTTAAATAACTTAATTAATGCAAAAACACTTCTGGGTGCATAGAAATCTATGAGAAAATGGCCATAAGATCCCTTAATCTATGACCTTCAGTAGTTTCCTGATGAGTTTAGTGTCTCGATCGTGAGTTTCAAGTGATACTGAATGGAAGATTAACTTGTAGATTATGGTCCTAATGCACTGAAGTAGAAAAGGATGATGAAGCTGGGAATTTTTTACTCAGTTATTGACAAGTCATTTCATGAGCAATGGCCCTCAATTGCACAATCATGTCCCCTCATACATTCGCGATGTCTAGTTAGAAAACCCTAACAATATTGTAATTGTATACATACAATATACTATATATACAATATCCATCAGGTTTGTTTCAAGTGTTCTGTATCTCGATTTTTCCATCCACTACATGTTGGAGATATTCCATCTATGACATGTTTGCTTATTTAATTAAAGTTAAATCTTCAGAAAAATATCTTTCTATGATATTTTAAAACTATCCTTAAAAGAGGATTAAATTGTTTACAGACAAATTCACCAGATAACCTTTACTAAGTAGTTGGAAATCATTTAGACTTAGGTGAAAAAAAAATCTGGCCGTAACCTATTGTAACTTAATCTATCTTAATCGAGATGTAGAGTTTAGCAGGCATGGATTAAGCCTGAACCTCCTAGAAAACATGTTTGGTCTAAAACTAAGCTGGGAAAATGAGCTTTAAGACATTAATGACTAGGCTTTTTTTGTCTTATTGTATCTTTGTGTTCATTTATTTACCTGATGTGACTCTGGCATTGTGATAACCACAGGTAATCCTCCTCTGAATTCCGGTCAGGCTCCATGTGCCGCACACTCACCGGGTCATATGGTGGTGGGACTAACCCTGTCATCGTAGAGATGGTGGTGGTGTGACTGACTGGGGTCATAGATGTTGCAGAGGTGGAGGAGGAGACAAGAGGTCTTTCTGGAACTGTACAATGAAAGAAAATAAATCAGCTAATTCAGGAATTAAAAACCTTATAGACAATCTGTTCAAAGGTCCCAAAGCTCAGCCAGTATTTGTCATGTCAGTTTATTAGGCACGCCACTTCAATACTTTTAATGCATATTTTACCAGCAGTTTGTTATTCTTCCTGTTGTGCTGAAGTGCATTTTATTGAAATGCTACCAATATATTTATCATTTATATGTTATATATTAACATACATTTGTTGATTATCTGAGCAAAACATTGGAAAACCTTAATAAACTGGAGTGTGGTGCAGTATTGATGATGCAAAAACTATATTGCATTACAATAGATGTTTAGTAAAGCGGTGACTTACTTCATGTGTGAATTTACAGAAGCTCTTTTACATGTTTTTTTCTATAACTTTAATCCTAAAGAGATCTATGTTAATTACAAAGAAACCATTGATTTTACAGTCAACATATGGAAAAAAAATAACTGATTTGTTGCATTGTATCATATCAAATGTATATCAAAAAATCAAATTTATATTTGTTATATCAAATTTATTCAGAATATGAAACCTCTGATAAAACATCCATCTATTATAAACACAAATAAGACTGTTTAACTCAAAGGATCCATTTCACGTGTGAACACAAAGTTCAAATGTACAAGGGCAAGCTGCTATAACAATATCATAATATTTATATTGTTTAAATGTATTGCTGTACAGGTCTGAGTCAATGGCAGCCACAATCGTGAAGGCATACTTGTCTACTTTTCTTTATGCATGTTCTCTCCTCCTCCTACTTTTCACACTGACTCAACCACAGCCCACGCAGGCAAACATCCACTTCAAATGCAAAACAAGAAAGGTACACGGAGCATTTTTCACTTGTCTAATAATTGGATATTTAGCATACCATCATCAGTAGGGTTGAAGCCACAGAGCAGGCAGATGGATGTCACCCAGCGGTTCATGTCCTCTTCAGACTCAGCCACCAAGTACCAGATCCTCTCTTCTGTCCTGAGGTCAAAAACAAAGCTGCTCTCTAGCTCCTTTTTTGTGAAAGAAAGGCCAGCATCCACCTGACGGAGAGGCAGAAATGGAGCAGACTTGTTACTGTCAAACAGTCAAGCAACCCTTAGGATTTATTAAGTGTAAGTGTTTACATAGTTGAGTATCTATGTACATGATATACATACATTCAATTGGCATTTAACAAACAAAAAGAATTTGAAAGAAAAAAAAATAAATTATGAGATGTGATCATAAAGTTCCCTGTGTCTCTCAAAAAGTAAAAAATCATACCTAATTTAAATTTGGTCAACCTTCCCCTATGGGCCGTCGAGTCCCAACACACATGCTATGTTTGGATTGCATCTTAGAAGACACTCAGGCATGCGGATTTGTAATTTCAAACTTTCCCAAAAACAAAATATCACAGTCCGTGTCAAAGTAATTCAACCATTATGCTAATGATCACTGGCCCAACAGCAATTTTTAATCAAAGTGTCCCCAATGTCCAGACCTGAATTGATTGCACCAGGTCAGGAACACAACAATGATCTATTTTCTGACAATCCCCAGGTTGTGCGCCAAGAATTCGTCCCCTGTGGACAGACTATCAAAGTTCGACTTTACTGCAATGTTCCGATGTGTCAAAGGAAGATCATTCAGCAGAAACCACCTTAAATAAATCACATTTTATGCTGCACACAAGACATGTGTGGCCATGCCAACACAATCTTTTTAGTATTATTACCAAACCAATGTTAGTGTTGTGACTTTCACAGTGTGTGATTCGGTGTAATCTAATAATTAGTAGTTCTGTGCTACAAGTCTTGCACTGCTCAAAGAAAGAAACTTGAAAAGAAGATCAGTCAAAGTTGAAATAAGAGAAACTTTCTCTTTTCTCATAAAGAAAATTCAGGAACTGATTTTATTACCAAAATCTGTGTTGCCACACTCTCTCTTTATTTTGCAAATAAGATCATATTTACAAAAAAAAAATGTTTAAAGACATAAATCCAACATTAGGTGAGATAGTAATATATCTGTCATCTCACCTGTTCGCACAGATTCAGATTGATGTTCCTGATTGGCCGACGGGAATGCGGGTTCTTGTAGTATTGCAGAACGTCCGGCTCTCCGCTCAGTCGACCGCTTCGCAGCACAAACCAGCGCCTCTTCCAGGCCTAGACAGAGTAAAAGATTTATTACTAAAAAAGGTTTTTATGTGTAAAAATAATCTCAGGACAAGATGCAAGCACTCAACCCCTGTGTGCCAACTGCTGAGATCTTTTTGAGACTTTTACTTTGGACTTTGAACTTCAGTCTTCTTCCTGAGTGAGTTATTGATTATATGAAGTTTTTTTTTTCTGTCCTTCTTCCGTTACACAAACTCATTAAACGCAATAGCGTTGTCTTCCTCCATGTCCTAAGTTTTACACTTCAGTGAATTTGAATGCTAACTAAACATCACACACACGCCTACGTCCACTGAACTGCTAAATGTTTGACACTTGTCTCCGGTCGTTTAGCATCAGGTGTTGGGCATTACAGGTAGGGTCTATCTCCAACAAATGATCCACAGGAAGGCATCTCATACTTCAGACATGACTCACAACCAGTGCGTTTGTGCCATTAGTGTGTAGGCAGAGTGTGAAAGAGAAGTCATGATATTTTTTTAAAGGTGTGAAGCAGAGCATAAATAAGGATTTAAATTTCATAACAGTACAGGGACACGTGAATGCACAGTTTCACATTCAGGGCTCAGGTTTTCAGTTTAAAGAAACCTGAGATTTTTCTTACGAAGGTTGAACAAATGCCATTTAAAACACAGGAACAAGTTTTATGCTTCTGTTTAAAAGGCTGAATACAGTATGTGTGTGTGTATGTTTTTGTGTTGGCCTGACAAGCTAAATCCATTCTTTCTGATCCTCATGAACTATTTCTCAACAAAATAAAATGGACTCCTCGGGCCTGAGCCTCAGCGGGAGTTTATGTGTTTGTGTGCTTGTTTGATCAAAGCGCACAGTAATGAATGGCAAAACACATTTCAACCTTTTTTTCTTCAAACCCAGACAGGAAAAGGAAATAGCTGAACAGGAAATGCCGGTGGGAGATGGCAGTATGAGCATGTGTTTATTGACTGTCTCCCTCGAGCTGTTTGATGATCTGCTGGGTGCTGGGGAGATAAAAGCAGCAACATGGCAGAACTAGTATGAAAATACTTTTTGATTCTTTCTAATTAAAGTAACAGGAACAAGCTGCAGCGGACTGGATCACTCACCAGCATGGCCTGCAAAATCCTTTTTAAGTGCCTGGTAACACAGGCTATTACTAGAATAAGTCATGATGGAGCAACCAGATTAAGAAACACACTAGTTTTAAAGGGATAAAAAGGTAATCAAATTTTAATGTTGTTATTATGCAATAAGTACTTCTTTTACAACCTGACATGCAAACTTCAACAAGTTCAACATTGTACGAAAGCGTTTGTTTGTCAAACTAAATTGGTGTTCAGTTTGGACTTGATTTTATGTACTGACTCATTGGGTTTATTTATGTTTTTAATTTAAAAGAATTAATATATTTAATAATATAATTATAATAAAATACAGTGATTTACGACCCTTAATAAACACTTGATCATTAGTTTCATGTGATTCTGAAAAAATAAAAAAAACGATTTTAGGCTTGTAAATTATGATCATTGGCCTTCAATTTTGTCAGGTGGTCCTGAGCACTTTTGAAGTCTTGTTAGAAAACCCATTTATTTTTGATGTACAGTCTATGGTTTTGTTATACAAGTTCATAACTTATTTTGCCTACCAAGTTATTGCATTTCTTTAGACTTTTTTATTTAAAACTTTGATTTAAAACTTTAATTAGAAGAAAAAACTCACTTCATTATTGTCTTCATATTCATGATTTTTTTTCAGTGGCCAAAAAGTGTGTTTGGTGTTTTGTTTTATTTTAAAGATGTGACTCTCAATAATCAGATACCAAAGTATCAAAAATACTATTCTTATTCCAGTTTGTGAAATACTGTTTTCTTTTTTAATTTTGCTTTGGATTTTTTCACTTGACATCACAGAAATGAATAAAAGTTTTCCTTTGGTATTATTGCCTTGTCTCACTGACAATTTGATGTCCTGTAGTAATGGTTCTTTTTTGAAGGTTGGAAAAGTGAGCAGGTTGTTTGTCAACATGCATTTCTACTTATTGCGCTAGTATATCCTTGTACTTGTATGCCTACAAACACCCTCTTTTTTCTTGCATCCATTGGGTCAGCTGAACTTTGATTTACCCCACATCATGCCTGCCATGCAGTGACAGGTCTAGGGCATCATTCATTTTGCTTTCCTCTGTTCCACAGTACAAGAGATAAGACTGTCTCCATGTCTTTGTAAGGTTTTACAAATATGAGATTTTTTTCTTCTTAATAAAAGGAAATCTATCGTGCTCATTTCTAAGTTATTATTTTTTATTCTTGTACTCTAGAGTAGGTTTGCATGGTTCCAAGCTCAAAACACTTCTTATTTATCCCTTCCTCTTTAAGCCAACTTTCTTCAGATTGGCTGCTGATCAGAAGAAGAAAAAAAAGCTTGAATGGCGGTGGGTGGGGCTTTTTGCTCACAGTCCCAGCTGTGTGGCTAAGATGACCATATTAGGTATGCATGCTACTATGCTAAGGCTACTATACTAAGGCCAACGGTAGGAAAGTAACATGTCTAAGACCAACATTTAGAGCAGTCTGAAACATCGGTTCTTCACTCACATAGATTACTTTCCACATTTGCTGATTTCACAATTTGGACAGTCCATTCATCGTCCTCTTAGTTGCTGATCTGATGAAAAAGATCAAATTTTAAGCACAATGGCAACCAATTATACATTTCCTCACATATTTTATTTATTTGGAACTGTACTTCTACTTTGCTATCATCACCAAGACAGTGGTCAGAACAGACACACTAACAAACAATTACTGATATTCTTTGTGCCAGTTTATACTTTTGTTCCTATATTTAAGATCCCAAGTGTAACCTCTATGGACAACATATATTCTGAAACATTAATAGCATTACCTTTGATCTGTGTTTGGTGCCTATGTCCACTGTGCACTGTGCATTTCCTCTCTATCACCTACAGCTCCCATGCAGCGGCCTTATATCCACCTAAAGTAATAAAGATAACCTCTTTTCCTTTAACAGCTTCTTTCCTCCTCTCCTTTCATTTGGGTTCTTTCTTTGACCTTTGACCTCAGCAGGAAAAGGGCACAATGGATCTAAAATAACACTTCCTCCATCCTGTCTCCAAGCCAAAATTAACACCAGACCTGAATAACAATATTCCTGCTGTTCAGTTCCTCATCTTCTCATCTGTAATCCCTAATCTTCTCATTCCTTTTAGTGCTGAGCTCTCATAACTGCAAACATGTGACTTTAAAACACTTTCTGTTTGTTTGCAGTCACTTGCAGACAGTTTCATTTATGAAAAACTAAAAAAAAAAACCTGACTAAATTATTCTAAAATGCTTTATTTCAACGTAAACAAAATTTAGATGAATAATATTTTGAACATGGCTGTAAATGAATATGCTAAGAAGCTAGGCTCCTCAGTTTCCTTCATAGATTTTAGAGGTTTTAAATGGAAATACATTGGCGTCCTTTTTTAAAATCTATCTAGCTTGGTGTCATTTGCCAAATTTTGGAGATGTCTGCTTTCTTTTAAATATAATAGAACTAAATTACATGTAAAACATCAGCAGCAGCACTTCTTACCACAAATCAGACCCAATTCCTCAAAAATATATTTTAAAAAACTTCTAGAGAACAGTTTCATGAAGGAACTGTTTTCTTTCTCCTGAACTGCACCTTTTAACTGTATGACTGTACAGAAGGAAGTGTACATCTACAACCCACTAATAGAGGTCCTGGCTTATGATTCGTGTAACAGGATGTAAACACTGGTGGCCCCGCTTCCACGCACTGTCCCTTTCTATGATGCAATGTTAGTCAGCTTCAAGTTTTTTTTGACTGGCATATTTAACAAATTGTTTCTGAAAGTATTTGAATTTGATGTTTGGGGGGTAAACAGTTCATTTCAAGATACGATGAAATAAGATTATTTTGTGCTATGGAAGTGAAACAGTAGGTACCAGGATGGATCGATGACTTTGACCAATAGCAACTTCATTCTATTAGTTGTTCAGAATTTCCTCAGATGGTCTTTGAAGTGTTACGCTGGGAAGAAGTTAAGCTTAGATTGCAAAGGAAAACATTACAAGAGATAATTGGTGGTAATTTTCCTGTTTACGTTTGCTTTCTACTCCAGATAAATATGCCTTAACTGTATTTCAGTGTGGTCCTTTTCTTCAGTCACTGGCTTCGTTTTTTAGTGGTGCTTGTCACCCATGTCCAGTGTTGGGCAAGTTACTTTGAAAAAGTAATTAATTCTTAAAAAGAGTAACTGAGTTAGTAACTAAGTTACAAGATTCTAAAAGTAATTAATTACTTGAAAAGTAACTGTTACGTTACTTTAAAAAAAATGTTTAGCCCTCTGGGGTCCAGGGTACAATTGGCCATTTTTAACTACTTTTGATTTTCCCTCCACATTTTACCCTTAAAAACTATTTACTTCGCCTTGTTTGGTATCATCCTTTTCAGCACAACCTCACATGTCTGAATTTACAGTTAAGTTTTCATTTTGACGTACTGTATTAACACAACTGATCTAAAATCAGACAAAAAACATAAAATCTGAGCAGAAAAAGTTATATTTTTTAGTGTAACAACCACAAACATGTTTAATGAATCATATTTCATAACTTTAAATGCAAATATAAATTGTCAATTTTAAAATCATATGCACAAGTTTTGCAAACAACAAAGTTATTTGCAGTCATTTACCTTTTACCTTGATTTTCTAAATAACCATTTCAAACTATTTACAGAACAATCAGCTGTTCTTCATTCAATAAGATGCCACACAAATTATTTGTGCCACTCCAAAACAATAATCTCTGTCCACAGCAGCAGGTGTATCACTCCTGTTTCTACCTGGAGACAGCAGTCGCCTCATTGTTCTGACACACAAACAAAACTATCCACAGCACTACACACTAACTACACAAGACAACACACTAACTACACAAGACAACACATTAACTACACAAGACAACACATTAACTACACAAGACAACACATTAACTACACACTGCAAACACACTAAACATCACAAATCTCTCAGCATCTCAAGACTCGCTCTCTCTCTTTTTCTGCCGTCTTTCTCTCTCTCTCTCTCTCTCTCTCGCTCTCTCTCTCTCTCTCTCTCGCTCTCTCTCTCACCGTCACTCCTAAAACTTCCCCCTCTTCCTAAACAACCAAATGTCATGTTGCTATAGAACTCATGTGGTTGTTTTGTCCACTAGCTACACTTCTTATGCCAAAAAGAAATCGTCAACCTGAAAGTGATTGCCGTCCGCGGGAGCATGTGCAGCTGCTTAAAGCTGTAGCGTCCAGATTACTTTCAGCTACTTCCATGCAACTGATATAAGATGCGGTAAGCTGAACACAGCTTCAACCGTCTGTTTGTTGACAAATAGTAACGAGACCATACCGCATTTTCGTGTTAGTAACGGCAACGGCGTTGTAACGATAGAAATAGTAATTAGTTAGATTACTCGTTACTGAAAAAAGTGACTCCGTAACGCCGTTACTTGTAAGGCCGTTATTCCCATCACTGCCCATGTCATTCCCAGATCTCAATATTACTAGCAGAACCAACAAGGAGAAAAGAAAGAAATTAGAATTGCCCCAGAGAGCATGTCCTCAGCTAAGGTCAACGCCCCATCTCACAGCTGTAAACACAGTGATTCAGATCTGCTTCCAAATATAACATTTCCTCCTTTGCCCATTTAAAGCCTAAAGTTTCATACACTGAACAAATGTTAGGTATAGGACCCAAATTAGAGTGAAACAGAATTAGCTTTTTTATGTGGCTTTGCTGTATTTCATTTAAGTCATAGGTTAAGAGTTTTTCAACTCGGAAAACTGAAATCATGAATAACTCTAGGGCTCTCGAGGTGAAATGTAACATTTCAGGTGCACCATGGCTGACTGACCTTGTAGCATCCAGCTGTGCATTAATCGGATGCAACCGTATAATGGAGTGGAATAAATGTCAAATATAAGAGCCATTCACACCAGCAATTTAGATAGATCATTGTATCCCATTATCCTACCGAGTGCCATAAATGCTACATACTTTACAGGCTGTGGCTAAGTAACGTTCAACTCTGTGGGTGCTGCTGAGTGGTGTTTGAGCATCTGTGGTGCTGGGACGCATGAAATCAGAGCTCTTCATTCAAACCTTTTCAAGGCAAGGTGTTGAACTTGTCTGTAGAGCACCATTGCTCTGATGGAGAGCAGGACTTTTGGAGGTATCCACACTGTGATACATATCCAAGAGAGGGCCTCTGCAGACCCAACTCTTTCTTCAACTGTGTTTGACCTTCTGTGTGTGTGTGTATGTGTAAAACATGTGTTATTGTACTCAAGGTTTCAAAATTTACGTCATCATTATCCCTGGTTTGCTTCCAGAGTGTGTGTTCGTTTGTGTGTGTGTGTGTGTGTAGCTGTGTGTGTGTCTGTGTACGTGTGTGTGTGTGTTCGTGTGTTTTCAAATCTTCTAAATCTTCAGGAAGGCCCTCATCGTCCAACCAGGCATAGCTGAGTGTAATTGGTTTATTACATAACGCACACACAGCTTTCAACAGAGCAGGGAGTGTGTGACGAAGTACACTCCATGAACTTTACCCACTATACATGAACACACACACACAAACTGTCTGCTTCTTCCATTATAGGGGACTGTGTGTGTTTGTGTGCTCAAGTGTGAGTGTGTTGATATTAGAGGCACAGCTGGCCATGCAGCGCTTCTTTGCACACATTTCATTGTATATACCATCATGACTGAATATATACACAGACTCAACAATGGTCTGTCTGTTTGGAGCAACTTTCTTTTTCTTGCCATCTCGCCTCTCTGCGTCTTCGTCTCTTGTCTTCTTTTCCCTTTTCCTCCAGCTCTTCTTCTTTGAGTCCAATGGATTTGCACGGTCTCCTTCATTTTAAACAAGCAGTAAGAAAGTGCAACTCCAGCACTCGACTTTCTTTGAAATCTGATTGTTCCCTCCTAAAAAATGTTCCCTGCTGCGATGGGTCTATCGACGTCAGCTAAGAAGAATATTGAAGTCTGCCTAATTAGTGCTGGCACAGTTTCTCTGTGCTTTTCCCCGGCCTTTTAGTGATGCTCTGCTTCAGCTATTTCTTCAGAGGGCCCGTGTTCTCACGTAAAAAGTTACTGGTTCAAATCTGGAAATTGTTCAGCTTTCCCTGAGCATATTCTGGTATTGAAGGCAGCTTCACTTCCTATCACTTTTTCTTCTGACCTATTTTATTATCCTTCACTTTCCGCTGCACACACACAAAGACAGGGGGGGGCAGGAGGAAAGGAAAACATGTGATAATAGGAGAGGAAGAGAGAGCACGAGAATGAAAGAGAAACACAGAGAAAGGCACACCAAACATTTTTTTAGAAATGGAAAGAATAAAACATCAAGGGAAAATATGGAACGGAGAGATGAGATTAGCTCAACTCACTGGTAAGGCATGCCAAATATGTGGTGCATGCATGTGATCCTAACTGCCTAAGCTGCTTCTTTACTGGAATAAAGCAGCCTGTGGTGCAACTGGACACACCAACTTGCATGAATTCATGAATCCATCCTTCCACTTATTCTACATAGTGAAGGAGAATACAGGAAAAAACAAAACTGGTCCAAGTCTCTGGTATTCATTACAGGCACAGTGCCACGTTGTCAGGTTTGGGATTTGAAAAATGCTAAATAACATTTTTGTGGCTTACATGTAATTAGAAACAGTTGTTTCTTTTGACAGCAGCTAGCACTGTACACTTCGTTCATTTTGCATGTTTATCAGATTACAAGTTACATTGCAGCAATTTTGTAGCTCATCTTTAAGTTAGTTATGTTTCCAATGACAAGTTGTATAACAGTCAGTTTGTAGGGCTAATATATCAGCTAAGGATCAGCCTTGTTGACTGAGTTTTATCCGTTTTAAATAAACTTTATTAATACCAGTGGCTGGTATTTATCTGTGTCACATCTTTGTTTTTGTTTTTTCAAAGATAATGGGATTAATGATGAACATTGTTGGGTTTATTCATGTAACAATGTATGCATTTTACATAAATTTATAGAGAAAGGACTCAAAAATAAATTGTCTTACAATATAATACAAATACAAAACAGCTACAGATTTCACTTTAAGGATATTGACTGCTGTGCTAGCTGTAATTAAAAGTCTGCATATTTACTGAAATAAACAAACAGCTAGCTTGCACGCTAATATGCTAACTGTAGTAAAAATATTGTAGCTGTGCTAAAAATATAGCATACAATCAAGCTGTTTTTCTTTTTCTCTAGATTTAGCTTGTGTATTAGCTGTATTCTGAATGGGGTCAAATAAATAATGTCTGAATTCTCATTTTTTAGAAATAAAAATTCATCCATTCGTTTATTTTCTTAACTGCAAATCCAGTTCACGGTCATGGTGGTGATGGAGCCTATCTCAGCTGTCTTAATGTGAAGGATGGTGTAAACCATAGACAGTTTTGTAGAATTACAAATAATATTCTCTGTATTTTATAATGTGGTACTACAAAGTCAAGTAGCATTACAGTGTTGCTTCCTGTCTAGTTGACAGCTGTGTTAGGATGGATGTTTTTTATTGTTTTATAATCAAGAGTGTGTAACTGTAGGAAATGACTCACTGTGTAAACACTGATGAAACTGAGACAAATCTTTAAACTTAATTAAATGCTACAGAGACAAACCTCCATGAACAGTTGGTAATACTTCTGCAGTTGTACTCCTGATTAAAAATCTTTGTACAGCTTTAGGATACTTCATATATCCACACTGGACATCACAAAGATGAGTCATATATATATACAGAACATATGCACAGTTTTTTGTATGTTTAATTTTTTCAAGTGTTTCAAATTCAAATAAAATACTCACATAGCGCCTCAGTTTTTTCTCTGGGGGTGACTTTCTCAGCCACCCTTCACACACCACGTCCCCTGCTCCGCTCATCCCGATGCCAACAAATATGGCTCCAGCAGCGCTTCTTTAATTATCAATTAACCAATCAGATGGACCTCAGTTGATCAGGATGCCAGTAATGTGTCAAAGCAGGCAACCATTCAGTTGATCACCATGAATTTCCAACAGTCAAGTACATTTAACCAATCGAATGTCACATAGGTTCATTAGTCCTTTCAGTAAGTCTTCTTTTTTGTTAACAATGATCAAATCCAACCAGATTTGAGATCAGCTGCTTTGGCTTTAAATCGGTAAACAAGGCATCCAAGCTTCACACCAGTCTGAGATCCAGTCAGTTGATCTGTACATGTGCAGGTCAGGCTTCCACTTTGTCAATCAGACTTTTAATAAGTTAAGGTTTCCAGTCTGTTTTTAAGTAAAATCCTGCTGTAATAAATCAGTTGAGCAGTTTCTATCCACACATGGAAGAGCTTCTGTTCACCCGTCGACGCCTGAGTCACACCTCCTTTTGAGAAAGCTTCAACTTCCCAGCAGTCAGTCTTCCCTCCCTCCTCCCTCCTTTCTCTCACTCTCTCGCTTTTTGTGGTTGTGCGATAACTGAACACAATGCCTCAGCTCGGACATTCCTGCTCTCCTCTCCACCCTCTTTTCCCTCCTCCTCCTCATCACTCCTCCCATTCTCCTCCTGCTCTGTGTAACAGGAAACTCCCCCTGTGGATATGGATGCAGTTTTTTTTGGAAAATGTGCGAGGGAAAAGGAAGATGTCTACTTTAATATAAAGTGAACATGGCATGGACATAAGTTGAATAAACTGATGGATAAATTAGATTTCTAAATATAATAAGCATGAGTATGGGTCTACTATGACAGATGAGACCTTTGATATCAACAAAAGAAAACGTGTTCAACAAAACAAGAAAAAAACATTTTTTCCTCCAACAGCATGTATTTGTTTCTTTTAAATTTCTACTTAAAAAAGATGCACACATTCAGTAACAGCTCAACAGCCATTATGAACAACCTTGGGGTCTATTGATGATTATATATTAATCCATGTACCTTGGTATCTCCAGGTATCTTGTGTGAAAGAGCACTCAAAGTTGTTTAAGGTTTATGCTCAACCCTAAGTTGATCAGTTTCCAGAATTCCAAGTACACTTGAAATTAAAGACTTCTTTAAAATATATTATATTGGTAAAAGAGAGGCTACAGCACCCTCCAGTGCTGAAAGACTCAAACCGTCTAAATACTAGATGAAGTCCACTTTCTTCAATTTCTTCTCTTGTGAAATTGTCAAAAGTAAGATTGTGTCATCAATAATAAATTAATACTAAATTAAATGTATTGATCAGTAAAATGACTATGTTAATTTCAATTCTCCACTTCAAGCCTTAAACATAAAAATCAGATTGAACCCCTAAATAACTTAAACTTAATGAACTTCTTCTATAGTTCAGTTTACATGGCTTGAATATTTCCTGAATTATACCTTAATTTTTTTTTATTCTTAAGTAATTATTTTTTTATAATTGAACTTTTTTCATATCAAAACGTACACATAAATTGATTTATTGTCAATATTATCTTTATATGTTGCTCATTTATTTATTCCTTTCTTATATTGCAGTTGAAGTACATGTATTATTTTTGTTAATAGTAATTTGACTGACATAAAAAAAACAAAAAAAAACAGAAGCTTTATATTTAAAAAAAAAATGGCACAGATAATTTTCCAAAAGTTGATTCTGTTCATCTGGACGTAGCGTTTTCAGTGGGAGAAACATTTCGTCACTCATCCAAGTGACTTCTTCAGTCTCAGCTAACTACAGGTCTTTTAAACAGTGTATTTGCATAATGACTGATAATAATGAAATGAAATAATAATGAAAACACTATGCTCAGATAATTGTTTTGGGCTGGAGATTTTGTGATTTTGTTTTGTTTATACCAATCTGTGTCTACACATGCATTTGAGAACTTATTTATCTTACACTTGATATGTCTGAGTCAGTTTTTTCTTGGGAAATGACAGAGCGATGAGGAACCTTCTTACAGTAAAATGATGTTTTAATTTAATGGGGAAAAATATCCTACCCTGCTCACATAATTTCCTTGGGGATTAATAAAGTAAAAAATCTTGCAAAACAAATATGAATCATACTAGATATCATTATGTATTACAGTGGGTGAGAGGTAGAACTCCCTACATGAGGTCACGGTGGGAATTACTACATGTTTGATGTGGCAGACTTTTGCCTCAAATGTCTTTTTAGCACAAAACTGGGATTTGTGTCTCCAAATATAACTGAACCAGGGACCTTTCACTTGCCAAGCAAATGTGTAAACTGCAACAGCTTAATAGTGCAGTAGAGCAGCTGAAAGTTGATTCTTAAGTTATTACTACTTTACTAAATATAGTATTATTTTCTTATAGTATCATTTTTCTTTAAAACTGGCAATTGTCCTCCCAAACACGTAGGAAAAACTCAGGTTGTATGAGTTGTACTTCTGTTTTGTGTGACTAGGTGGCAGAATTAGAACTTGCTGTAGTTTTGTCAAAGAAAATCATGCATTATTAGAACTATAAGGTACAACAAAAGGCATTAACACACCCCAGAAGAGCTTCAGGCTTTTGAACTTAGCACTTGTAACCAGCTGGATGGCCCCTCTTCTCTTTAGTTCAGAGGTCATCCAAGTTTTCCAAAAGTAATTTCAAATTTCAATTTCTCTGACCTCAGAACAATTTTACATGAGTGATTATATCCATTATTATATCACTTTATTTTAAATATTTAAGTCTTCATAATTTTATGCTAAAGAACACTATTCTTAAATTCTTCCACCGTTGTAGACTTTCTTTTTTGTTGTGCTTTTTTGGGACCTCCTGGGTGAGTCATCAGTGCAGTCTTGGAGTAATTTTTGAAGGCTAGCTGCTTCTGGGAAAGTTCACCACTCTTCAAAGTTTTCTTCTTTTGTGGATAGTGACTCTCATTTAGTTTGGTGTGGAGTCCTAAAACTGTAAAAACTGCTTTGTAAACTTTTCCACACTTACATTTTCACATAGGTTTGTATAGCATTTTTTAAATCATGATTGAAATGAAGTAATGAGTTAAATGGTTTAAAAAGTTTTGATTTCCTAATTTACTTTGCTTTAAGTGTGAAAAATATGCCAAAAAAAAGAGTAAGTGGCAAATACTTGTTCATAACTGTATATGTATTTGTGACAAAAATAAGTGGTCTTACCTGCTGTGGGGACCTCTTGTGAATAAGGGAGCGGCCAAAAGTGGGTTTGTTTTGTCATTTCTTAAATACAAGAGGGGAAAGACCTTGTAGGAATGAAAAATAGTACAGGGAGAGAAACAAGAATGTCTGTGTCAGGCAATGTAAAAATACACTGACATTATGTGGCCATCTGCTTAGCTAGTTATCAGTTTGTGTTTGATACAGAGTGACATATGGCTATTTACTGCCATCTGGTGTTAGTTATACAGAACTGCAAGTAAAGTCACTGTTGCGTTCTTGTTGTTGTTTTTCTGTTGACAAAAAACAGCTGTGGATATCTGTCTTTTTCATAGCCATTTTAGGATTTTTTTGTTACAGAAGGTCTCTCAAAGATTTAGACACCAAAGTGTCAAACTGGCACTGACTGTCTCTTATTATTATTAACTGATTATTAACTGAACATACTTGAACTGATTGGCGCCATAGGCAAAAAACAGGGGGACCATCCAACCAGTGTTCAGCACCAACTATGCAGATATGAAAAATGAAAAATCCTCCAACGCTCACCCAACAATATTACATTTCCTATGATTTTTCATCTGATATATACTGCTTCATTTCCACGCATATAAAATGAATATTGTTGCACATTTAAAAAAAAAAAACACCTGCAAGTAGAGGGTGGACTGGTGGAGCGTGGTGCATTACTTCAATGTGACTCTTATGGCAGAGTCAGTTTTTTTTTGCATATCAATATATTATTAACTAAAAATACACCTGTGAGAAATATTAATAGGTCATGTGGTCGAAACCAGGGATTGGATTCTTCATGATATAGACATATTTACTTTGTGATATTTTCATGGTTAAACACCCCTGCGAGAATCAAAACAAGAAAGCTCATATTTGAATAAAACACGAGAACAGCTGTGATGACCTAAACCGCATTCCTTGATTTGTATACACATGGATCGTTGTTTGTTTCAAAGTTATTTGAATTATGAAAATGTTATGAAAAAACGAATATCATTTGCATGGCTTCATTCTAGCTGCATGATTAGCTGGTGGTGATCATTCGCAAAGTCCTTCTAAGAGCACATTTCAGCCATCTGGAAGCAAATCTTTGTGGTTGAGTTAAATTTCTACTATGCGTGTATTTTCATAACATTGCAGCTTTTCTAATCTCTTAATACAAAGTGCCGTCATGGACACACCTTGGCTCGTGTAACTGACAACACTGAACAAACGTCATGCTAATTGTTATCTGGTCTTATGGGAAAAGGGGAAAAGAAAGAAAATATAAAGGCCAACGTATTTTAACCGTGTAAAAAGATTCAAAGAACGAACTTGAATTGCAGCATGCAAAACTCTCCTGTACTCCTCCTTTTACCTATTACAAAAACACTCATTTTTTTTAAAGAGGTGGACATTCGAATCAGACATTTACAAGAGTGGCTGACAATAGGAGGAAGATCAGACTACTGACAAAGTGAGCCTTCTTCTTCTTTTTCCTCTTTTAGCTGATCACTTTAGTCACCACAGAGCAGACTCCTCAATCACACCAACACTGCATCGCTTCACACTAGTTACAAGGGAAAAGATCTTTAAAGATAAAAAATAAAATAAACAATATTGTCACAACTAAACAATTATAGAATATTTGTCTGTTTTTACATCATTAGGTTTTCATTCAAGACATAATTACCCCTTGGATGCACAACCTACCAATACCTAACTCTTCCACGAGTGGGGTCAAAAATGACCCCAAATAGAAACAATGCATTTTGCTATAAACTTGGTTGTTATTCTTCAAAATCTTTAAAACGAAGAGTTGTTATATTTTCATATTTGAGGTATTCCTCATAAAACATGTTTGTGACATGAGGCCCTTTACATTTTTATTTATTTTTTTCATTAATTTTAAGAAATTGCAGTTTTTGTATCAGTTGTATCACTTTTGTATGCTTGCTCTGCATATACTGCAGAAGCTGGGCCTTCCAACTGAAAGGCACAAGTTGTTCATCCACTGTAACACAATCACTGAGGATGAATTTCTGCCTGCAGTTGACCAGGAACAGGTCCCATATGTAGCAGAAAGCTGCGATGTGGTTTGTTTTCAGTCGGTAGGCTCTGGTTCTCTTGTCATCAAAGTGCAAGAAACTGTGAATATCTTCAAATCTTTGAATTGACATAGTGGCCTTGAACAATGGGTTATGCAGAGGACTTGTACATCCCAGTTCTTCTCACTTCCTTCAAGAGTGGTCAATCAAATGAAGGTCAGGACCTTATGTTTGTTTACATTTTTCCACTCTTTTCCAACGTCTTTGGCTACTCTT